CAGCGCACTACAGCTGTGGTGAAGACGTGCACCTCTATGGAATAGGATCATTTGATTTTCTCTAGTACAGTACGTATCATCACTTGATTTAGATGCACTCCGTGTACGGGTACTAGAAACACAATTTTTTTTGCGGTTTTGTTGTTTCTTAACATTTATATTATTAAGAACGTCTTATCCGAATTTCATTCATTTAGATAACAAAAAACACCATTTTATGCTTTCACATTATCTATGTTTGTATTTCAAAGGCAACAGTATAAATAAAACAATAATTATTCAATATACAAATTTAAATTATTTAGAACGTATTTTCCAAATTTCATTCATTTGTATCAGAAAAAACATTTTCTGCTATCCACCTTGTCTATCTTTGTATTTCAAAGGCAACAGTATAAATAAAAAATTGTAGTGTTCCAAGATGCTGTTCCTGCTGTTTATTTTTAAAATCTATTTTGTCATGTTCAAGGCGGCCATTTTGAATAACAACGGTGGACGTTTTCTGTAGGCCTTTACATTTAAAAATGTTTCGAAGGTCCAACAGTATCTGTATACCATTCATTTATTAAAGGAAATTAACGAATTCTGCTGTCGGTGTCTGCTGTTTAGATTATTTATTACTACTCTCTGTATAAAACCTAAAGAAGAAATATTTTTTGAGCTGTCTCCATATCTGAAACATGATTGGGCCAAAAATATTTGCGTACCAAATTTCATTTCTTTTATCTATATCACGAAACAACAAACATTCCACATTAAGGGTGTATGTTTTAAATGTACAAGTCGGCCATCCTGATTAAAAAATGGAAGTAGGAAATCTCTGAGATGCCTCAATAATAAGGACTGTCCAAAATATGTGCATGCTTTATTTCACGCTTTGATGTCTAAAGTGCATAACGAACAACGCTGCTGCACTGAAAACTACAGTGTGTATCGGGACAACGATACGACGCTTAAATACTGTTATACAGTGGCGGCTATGAAGCGTTATCTCTATCTGCAATATCAGTGCGAATTTCTCAATAAGGATATTGTTATCGCATTATGGTACTTTCGAATGTCTCGAGAAGATTTATTGCCTTTGAATTTAAAGGTTATCAGTATAACTGAGGTATGATGTCACACTGGGGTCGCGCGTATCTCAGGGTCCTAAGACTTGTATTCTGTATATGAATAAAGTTCTGGTTTAGAGACTATATGTAATTTGTACCAGACATACCATTACATTTAGCTAAATGTTTTACAAACCTCTGATTCTCTTCATTCACTTCACGCGGGTTTTGACTACCATGAACGCTGGTAGACGACACTGGTATTGGTATCCGTATGTTGTATACGTTTACTTCCGGTAAGTCTGTCGCATTATAAAACTTTAAGGTTTTATGTATTTTCAAAATGTTACATCTTTTTTTTTAACTAATGTTGAACATAAGACAACGATTTCAAGAGACAATAGAACCCATCAAATATATATATTACATATTATATATTCAGAGATAATTCGATGAATTCTCAAACAAATATGCTGTCAATTTTTCCAAGCCAACATTCAAAATGTTTTATAATGTTACATAGTCTTACAGTTGTATTTGTCAATACTGGACGACAGGACAGGTAATGTTCGTGAAACAAGTCCTTATCAGCGATAAAGCGACTATAACAAGTCGTCACCATGAATCTTATCGATTTAATTGAACTCTGGTTCAAACTCGTATTTCACTTCCTACACGTTTGGTATTGGTCCCTCGTCACCACGCGGAAGATTTTAGATCAGGGACTTTTTTAAGTGATACCAGCGGGACTTGGCATGTTGTCAAGATATTTTTTTATTTCTTTTTTTTTTAGGTTGTGTACACCTACTGCGTAACGCTGCCGTTCAAACCATGCACTTGGCTACCAGCCGTCACCATGAAAAGGCTCAAACCCACGCCAGTGTTTGATTCCAAAACGGCGAATATTAAATACACAAATGAGAAGCCAGCATTGCCAGTGAAGAAAGAAACTCCAGATATTAATACAGGAACCAACTTTCTAGATATATTAAATTCACCTGCAAGCCAAGCAGAGGTTACGAAGTCAGACCAACTGCGAAGAGAAACAACACAGCCAAAAACGCTGTCGCCTCCTTCCCTTCTGTCAGCATCAGCACCGCCATTGCCACCTACCTCGCCACTTCCCCCACCACCATCGTTTGCACCTCCGCCACCACCCAGGTTTGAACCCCCGTCACATCCCGCGTCGCTCGTTGAAAAACAAGAGGAGCGGAAAACCGATGTGTTTACAGAACTTGATATCCAACCTCAATTTATGATGGGTTCACGTGACGATGAAACAATGGAGTCTGACATCTCAACAACAGATGACCGACATCCCCTGGCGGAAAGTTCGCCCCAAGAAAGGCGGCGAGGAGGTGGTCACCGACCGGATTTCACTCTGAAAGGAAGTGTGCGATTTCCTGTTCAACCAGAGAACAGAGTATCGAGCATTTATGATGTGAGTATCACTTTTTTAATAAGAAAATTGTTTCAATATTTTTAGAGTAAACTAGTTGTATTAACGTCTCAAGAGATACGTGTACATGTATAACGTTCAAATGCATGAATTCATCTCGACAGGTACACACTGTATGGCATTCTCAGCAACATATCTGACACATATATGACTTAACCAGAACAGGTATGACATTTGATATATACAAGTAGGATTTTATCCAGACAAGAATAACATTCACATGTAGGAATTATCTGGAAAAGTAGCGGCATTTACGATAATTGCATTCACAGGTTTGACCTCCGAAGGTATGGCCCAATATCGATATATAAACGGATTCCACAATAATAATCTAGACAAATATAGAGTGGCGGTAGAGTCTGTACCGCTAGCATAAATCTGAGGTTTTTAAACAGGGATTACCCGATCTAATTGATAACATGCAAAGTATACGTTTGAGATATATGGGGTCTGTGAATATAGACACAAAACCATCATAAACTGTTTTCCAATATTCGTTTGAGTTAATAATATTGTTTTGTTCAAAATGACTCAATACAAGCACTTTGATAGATTCCGTTGTGATATTTCGACCCCAGATTATTCTAGAAACATCTAGTTATAGGTTTTTCTGAAACTCTAACAAATACAACAATAAAACTTAATAGAAAGCTGGGCCCGTATTCAGTAAACATGCTCAAGCATGTTGGTTTTTTTTGTGCTCAAGTCTAATTTTTTGTTCCGTTTATAAATTAATAATGAAATCTGATTTTGGCTTGAGCACAACATATATGCTTGAGCTTGAGGACGGTTTCATGAATACGGGCCGAGTACTCAGTGACTATAGACATGGATTCATAGTATACTTATCATAGGCAAATATATTGAATGTGCATTTGAACACTGGTCTTAACACATTATACTGTATTTGAACATTGATTTATAGCAAACAGCCAGGAAGGATATACAACATAAACATCACGTAACTTGCTTACTTCAAAATACACAATTCACAAATGAAACAAGAAAACACGAAAGTGTGAACAAACCCGTGATTCGAACACCAAATAAGTGCGAAACATTGTGTTTACGGCATTCAAAGCTTATCACAAGACCAATCGGGAACCGTCGGCACTTTCCGTAAACGAGAAAATACGGAA